TTTTTATTTTATGTGTATGTGTGTATTGCCTGCATGTAGGTAAGTGCACCCATGTTGTACAATGCCCTCGGAGGACAGAAGAGGCTGTTGGATCCTCTGGAACTGGAGTTACGGACAGTTGTTAACTGCCATGTGGGTGCTGGGATGCGAACTCAGGTCTTCTGCAAGAACAGCCAGTGTTCTTAACCATTGAGCCATCTCTCCAGCCCCTTAATTTTTTCTCTTTGAGACCAGGGTCTCTTATAGCCCAAACTGGCCTCAAGCTTACTATGTAGCCAAGGATGACTTGAACTTCTGCTCCTGTCTCCAACTCTGGAATGCTGAGATTACAGTTTTTGTCACCATGACCAGTTTTAATTTTTCTAAAAAGATATTTCACTTTTTAATTTTGGGTCTGGGGGTAGGTATGCATACTTCAGTGCAGGTGTCTGCAGAGGCATCAATTCCCTGGAACTGGAGTTACAGATGATTATGAACTGCCATGTGGGAGTTGGGAACTGAACCAAGGGTCTCTGCAAGAGCACTTACTCTTAACCAATGAGCCATCTCTTTACCTTCCAGTTTTAATTTAATTTAATTTATTATTATTTGGTCTTTTTGAGACAGGGTCTCCCTGTAGCCCCAGCTGGCTCAGAACTCACTATATAGACCAGGCTAGCCTTGAACTCACAGAGATCCACTTGCCTCTGCCTCACAAGTGCTGGGATTAAAGGTGTGTGCTACCACGCCTGGCTCCAATTTTAATTTTAAAACAATTTATGAATTGATACTTTTTTTTGAGACAAGCGTCTCATTGCAGCTCAGCTTGGAGTGGAACTCACTGTGTAGCCCAGGCTGGCCTTGAGTTTGTGGCAATCCTTCCACTTCAGCTTCTCAATGGCGGGGAGGATAGGTGTGAGACACCATGAATGACTTGCTTTGTAAGCATCTCACAATTTTATCCCCTGCTGTGGACTAGTCTTCTTTCTCCTCTCCACTTCTGGTCTTCCCTGGACCCCCGAGCCCTCTACTGTCTGTCTAGACTGCAGAGACTCCCTGCCCAGATTCCTCATGCTGCCTCCATTGCACGGGAAAGCCCTCTGGGCCCCCTAAGGCTCCGGTCGCTCTCTCCAAGTCACTGCTCCTCTCACTGCTTCACTTCCTTCAGTTCCAGTTCCTCAAAGCATCACGCTGCTTCCTGCCTCCCGGCCTTTGAGCATACTGTGCCATCTCCCAACAACCTTCTCACCCTCCTCCTGCCCTGAGTCCCTAAATCACTTTTTTGGCCTCATCATGACTTTTTATGCTGACCTAGAGAAAGCCAAGAGCCCTGTGAATCCAGGGACCGTGTCACATTCACTGCCGGTTCCTGGTCCTTTTCCAAACACAAAGCTCAACCTTTAGTCTCCCACGGATCTGGGTTTCAAACTGGCCCTGCCACTTACTGGCCGAGGAATGCACGTAACACCTTCGTTGGCTGAACCTCAGCTTCCGAGACTCTAAAATGATTATTCCAGTGGCCCGAGTCCTCACTGTCTGTAAGCAATGTCAAGAAGGGAACGGCAAAACCTGAGTTTGGCTAAGCTTGCACCTGAGGAGCAGCGGGCGGAGGACCAGTAAGGGCTCGACCTAACAGGGCATTGGTTAAAATAGACCCCTCCAAAAAACTCTCCTTTCTCTCTCTCTCTCTCTCTCTCTCTCTCTCCTATTTTGAGACAGCCTCTGCGCGCCTGGAATTTACAATATGACAAAGGCTGGTTGTGCTTGTTTTTTTCGGTACCGGGAATTGAACTCAGGATGTTGCTCATGCCAGTCAAATACACTCCCACTGACCGGCCCCCAGTTCTTTTCATATTTTTACTTTTGAGATAGGGTGACACTAAATTGCTCCTGCTGCTCTTGAATCTGTGGTCTTCCTGAGGTACACCCCCATCCCCAGAAGCTGAGATCCCACTTGGTTCTCTGGCTGGGCTGTTTTTGTTTGTTTTGTACCACTGGGGCTGGAACCCAGGGCCTTTCACATGCAAGCAATCTACCACTGAACTACTTAAGATGGCCTAGGTGGACTGATGGTATTTTGGGGGTTTGTTTTAGCCTTCATCCTCAGCAAGACAAAACAAATAGGAAAAAAAAAAAACCCTTTAAAAACTCAATTCATATTTAAAAGAGCCTTGCGTGGCTAACCAAATGGTGCAGATTCAGATTTAACCCTTTACCAAAAGTAGCTTTTGTGAAATAAAGTGTTTTTGAACATCATTTACATTTATTTATTTACTTATTTATTGTGTGTGCACACATGCGCACGTGAATGCATGAAGGTCAGAAAACAACTTATGGAATTTGTTCTCTCCACCCTGTGGTTCCTGTGTATGCAACTAGGGTAATCGGGATTGGTGGTGAGTGCCCTTAGCTACTGAGCCATCTCCTTGGCCCTAAAACAGTTTTTTCTTTTAAAGAAATCTCATCCCTGGGGCAGAGAAGCTGGCTCAATGGTTAAGAGTACTGTCTCCTCTTGTAGAGAAACTGGGCTGGTTCCCAGTACCCACATGGTAGCTAACAACTTTCCATGACTCCAGTTCCAGGGGATCTAACCCCCTCTTCTGGCCTCCGAGGGCATTACATGACATGGGTGTACTTTGTTCATATATATAAGTCTGGTGTGGTAGTGCCAGCCTTTAAATCCCAGCACTCAGGGCCCAAGCTCTGACCCTAACAACTCCCAGAGCAACTTGATACATTTTAATCTGTTGTGACCAATTAAGTACATTTCAGAACTCACTATGATCCAGTTTGAGAAATACTGGATTGTGAGGATTCTTCAACATAGTTATTACTTTTATTTTTTTTTTTTTTTTTTTTTTTTGAGACTGGGTCTCTCTGTAGCCCCAGCTGGCCTGGAACTCTCTACATAGACCAGGCTGGCCTCGATCTCATAGAGATGCACCTGCCTCTGCCACTGGAGTGCTGGGATTAAAGGCATGCACCACCACACCCTGCTTCAAGGTAAATATTACTATCATTCCCATTCACTCACTGTGCAGATAATGGGTAGAGCCTGCTGAATTCAGTGGTAGCTATGATCTACAATCTGAGTTCAGTCAGCCAAGGAACGGCAAGGAACACCAATATGCAGGGCCAAGGTTCAAAGTACTTTCTGCATAGTATCTCATTTAATCAGTGCCCAAAGCAGCTACTATCCTTTATTTATTTACATTTACTTACTTACTTGTTATTTAATTAATTAACTAATTTGTGTGTGTACACATACATGCCTCCTTCCATCATCAGGATTCCAGGGATGGAACTCAGGCTTGGTGCAGGCAATTTTATCCATTGAGCCATCTCGATGGTCCACAACTAGTCTAGAACTCTCACTCTACGGATACTTAGGTACCTAGCTGTAGATGAGAAGGCATTTGGCCATTCTGGAAGTACACAGCAAAGCTGGCTGCTCAAATGTGACCAGGATGGCACCAGAATCCATGTTTGACAAAATTCTTGACCCTACAAAATGGCACTAAGAGAAATAAAACTCCGGCTCCTCCAAGCCCTTCCTAGCCACCTCTCTTTTTCTTTGCTGTGCTGGAAATGGAACTCTGGGCCTTGGGCATGCTGGGCAGTGCTTGTCTCCCAGAGCTACACCCCCAGCCCCTCAGTGGGGGATTCTAGGCAGGTGCTCTACCACGGAGCCACATCCCAGCCCCTCAGTGGGGGATTCTAGGCAGGTGCTCTACCACTGAGCCACACACCCCAGCCCCTCACTGGGCGATTCTAGGCAAGGACTCTTCAGTGGAGCTCTACTCTCAGATCCCTTCCAGCCTCTTATTTTTTTCTTTTCTCCCTTCCTGTTTCTAACAGGGTCTTTCTGAACCACAGTGAAAAAAGATATGCCTTCTTTAAACCGCTTCTCTCAATTCCCCTGTGTGCAGTTCCAGATGTGACCAGCAGGGTGGGCCAGTGGAAAACAGTGGCACTGGGGCTTAAAATGAAATGTGGTAACATGAGGATCCACAAGTTCAGGGTGACTCAGCACTTCTCAACTTCCCCCCCCCTCCAGCCCCTCCCTCATTCCTCTCTAGAAATGATTTATCAGCATGAGACCCTGTTTTTTTTGAGTCTCATGTAGCCCAGGCTGGCCTGGTGAACGTGCTAGGTAGCCAAGGATGGCTTTGAACTCCCCTACCGCTGCCTCTCCAGTGCTGGGGTCACACATGCACACCGTTACAGCTAGATGCAATTTGGTTTTCACAGGGAGGCCCAGTGCCCTCCCCTTTGTCCAAGTTAAGATCTTGGTGGCCAGTACCCTTTTGGGACAGTCAGATAGTAAGTATCTTCGGAGTCCCCAGGGCTAGCAGGGGTGTGGCCCTTCTATCTGGAAGTTTCAGGCCTGGCCCAGAGTTAATATCTAGATAGAGGGGCAGGAGATGCTGGGGGATTCTGTGCCCTCTTCTGGGGCAACTTCAAATTTTTAGCCCTCATAGACCTTGCCAGGACTAGAGTTCGTCAGGCATCACAACAACCTGCCCCTTAACTTTTTCAATGTCGAGTTCCCAGTGACCAAACTAAGGACCTATGAACTTTTTGGTGCTGAAGAGCAACAAACAGGGTTCAACTCCCAGCACAGCCATGTACCAAGTTACTTTCTGTGCCTCGGTTTTCTCATCTGTCAAATGGGGGCAATACTAGTTCCCATTCCAAATGAGATCCACCCCAGGATTTAACACGTGTGCAGAGATGGCACGGATCGCTGGGTGGCAAGCTGGTGCTGGTTTAGTAAACCCTTTCTGGATGTGCTAACCAGGACCACCACCAGTCACAACCACCGCATTTCCTAAGAGCCCGGGTTTATACATAATTATCAGAGAAGTCCCCCAGGCTCTCGGGGGTTAATTCCTACGTCTTGGGCTCACATAGAACAGAATCCTACAGAGTCCCCCATTTCCACCCCGACTTGTTGGCTCTCATACTGAAACACACCAGACCCCAAGCCGTCCTTCCCAGTGCTCTCAGCCCAGTGCTCCCCTGATTTTCCCCGCCTGCCCCGGCTCCTGCCTGCTTGCACCGCCTGCGCCAGGGTGGTGAGCCCAGTCCTGCCAGTGGAGCCAAAGATCGCGATCTTCTTGACAGTCATGCTGCGGGGTTCTGTGGACGCGGGGTCCCGTGGACGCGGGAGGCGGAGAATTCCGAGCACACGCGGGAAGCGAATGGCTGCAGAGCGGCGCCCTCTCCACCCATATGCTAGGCCGAGATGGGGCGGGGCAGGCTCAGAGGCCACGCCCCTATTCGGGTCAGGGGCGGATCCAAGAAGGCCCGCGCCCCACACGGGGAGGACGCGCGCGAGTGGGCAGGGCATGAGTCAGCTTGTATTTCCTGACCGCGCTCTCTAATAGGTGTTTAGACCTGGATAGGCCACGCCTCCAACTAGGAGAGGAGGGAGTGAGAGGGGCTAGAACAACTTGTCACTCAGCGCCCCACTTCCTTGCTCCGGCAACCAGGAATGGGCGGGGCCTGGGGAGCCACGCCCCCTGGACCCTTCTGGATCACGCCCCCTGTACACACATCCACTCTGAAGCCAGTGGTCCCTGCCTCCAACAAGCAAGGTGTGCATGAGTGTGTATGCGTGTGTGTGTGTGTGAGTGTGTGTGCATGTGTGACACTGTGTAACTGTGTACATGTGTAGTTACCCATGACCCTAAGTAACTACAAGGGAAAAACCCGACTGTGTGCAACACCCTGTGCCATCTCTTGTGTGACAGTGTGACTTGTGTATGACCCCAGGAGTGGACAGCACGGGTGCTGTTCTCTGGTGACCTTGTGGTGACACTGTATCCATCAGCCTGTGTGACGGCGTGAGTGTGCACATGTGTGGAGTGTGGAACTTTGGGGTGGGGATGCCGTGACATCCCACTTGTCCTGCCTGTGTGCGTGACCTATTTGTGTGTCTGTTACTGCACCTGCCTTGGTGACTTGCTGTGGCTGTGCTGCCGGGGTGTGTAGTAGTCCATGTAGGCTCTGTCCCCTGGTGTGCATTGTGAGTGTGGACCGCATGTGAGCACAGATTCTGTGTCACCCGGGGAGTGTGTGGCATATGTGACTGTAGTCGACGCCCACGGTGACACACTCAGTGCACTGTTCCAAGCGTGAAGATATGACCCCGAGTGACCCCCCACGCGAGGGCGCGACACCGCGTGTGCTTGTGGGGTGCGGGTGTGTGACGTCGCAGTGACCAGGCGTGTGAGTGGCAGGGTGGGAGTGTGTGCCTGTGTGCCGCGCCCGCGCGGCTGAGCACCACACGCGTGGCCGGGGGTGGCGGCGGGGCCGCGGGCGGAGGGGGGTCCCGGGGGCGCGCGGAGCGC